TGGAAAATCGTCGCAGAGTTCATTTGCTGACCCCCTTCTATCATCTATATCCTCAAATGTGAACGGCAACACGCTCATGTCATTGTATCGTAGAATATAGATGACGAACAAACACACGACATATCTGGTCAACCAAGCGTAGAAACAGAGTAATTTACACCAACGATAATAACATTCAAATAGTAACTTGAAACTAGAAATGCCTTTATTCGTGCAAGTCAATTTAACAATAACTCTCTCGTTTACACTTGGCGTATCCACATTAAACTGACCAACATCTTTCGTCTTTTCAAACGCACCAATACTATCATAGTCATTGTACAAGATCCTTGAGTTGATGGGCGTCTTCTTCATTGTGGATGACAGCACCAACGACGACTGATTGACACCAGCTGATGAAGTTAGCGGTGGATCAGAAGCTGTTGTTGTTCGGCTTTCAGAAATTTGTCTACCTGCAAGACCACCACAACTGCTGTCTTTTACTATCAGCTCAGGTTTATCAGTAGCATCTGATGATAGGTGGGCTACATGCTGATCAATCACACTGACGGTCCCACAAGTATGCATGCCTTCTGCAACTGCATCTGCATTTATTTCTACTTCACGTTCAAGTTGTACAGAACCTTTGTTCAACTTAGCAGAAGTAGGCATATCCCTCATCTCATCATGATCAACCAAAGACAACTGTGAAGTATCATGATCATTATCACGAATATTCACTTTACCGTCAACTTCATCATTTTCAAACTCTTTAATAACAGAAGTAGACAATTTTTGTTCCTCCTCACAAATCATTAAAGGTTTTATAACTTCACTCTGACTAGATATACTTTGTAAACTTGTAGGGTCAGAACTGCACTCTGAAGCAGCAACTCTATTCTGTGACACTTTATTCAACAACGGCTTACCAGTTGCAACTACAGACTTCTTCACCGCACCGTTATCGTCACACAACTCGGAGTCAGACCTGGATTTCACATTGAGCTTATCACTGAACTTGCTCACCGGTTCACAGTTCACTTCTGTATGCACCTCTTGCACACGTGTCCAGCACAACCGTGTTTGTCTTGTATCTTGTAACTTATCTGTTGAGGATGTACTACGAAACCTGTTACACTCACTAGGTCTATATGCATTACTAGACATCATGGAGCTTTCTCGATATCCACCTCTCTGTGGCCTTTTCGTCATCAATGATTGCATTTTGATCTCAGACTGCTCTATTCTAGGGGTGAGATCTAATAGACTGGCGAACTTGCTCATCGATTCATTGACACTAGTATTTACCAGTTTCGGGATATCATCAAACTTTGGCTCGATACCCTAATCCTCCATACGGGAGCTTATCTTCTTCCACTTCCTTTGCAGTCAAGTAGGTAGACGTCTCGCTATTACTTCTAGTGTAAAACTCGAGTTGAGGTCATTCATGCAATTCATAGAAATCAAGGTATTCTTATAAGTCATAAGATTATCTAAAAACTCAGTAAGTGCCTTGGAGTCATCCTGTAATTGACCACCATTACCCTCAACAGCCTCGAATAATTTCCCTGCAATCTTCGAAGGTCTTCCAAACCTTTGACGTAATATGCTCATAGCCTCAGCGTATCCCTCATTAGGGGGCATGAGCTTACAGCACTGTATAGCTCTTGAAGCATCTTCAGTGCAATACCTCATCAAATACGTCAATTTCATTTCATCAGTTAATAAATAACCACTCAGCATGATCTCAAACTCCTTTACAAATCGTAAATAATCAGCCGGGTTTCCATCGAAACACCGTGGTTCAAATTTAGGGAGTTTGATGTTCCTATTATCCCTGAACGGCGAAACAGTAACATCAACCATGTCATGCTTAACATCAGACACATCGTTACAAGTAACAGACAAGTCACCATGACTTACTTTCCTGTTTGCATCCAAGACTCTCTGTCCCTTCTTTGACCCAGGCATTTTTGAACTTGACCCAATTCCAAAAACGTTCCAGATATTGCTTGTTCAAAGAGGACTTCACCGGCACCAGGAAAGATGAACGGTGACTATCCAAACTTTCACCAACTGTCTGAATCCTTCAGAGTCTGTTTCTACCGTCAGAAACTGTCAGTTACGTCTCATAAACCGTTAATGCCCAGATCTTTCTACGCCGGGCTCACTCTGTCCCTTGAAGTTTCTCAGAAACGCTTAGTAATAACGGACGAATAAACCAAAACACCAATTGTTGACTCGAGGATTCTTTATTGTTACACCGACATATAAAAAGTAATTCCACTAAGGTCTGTGAACAAATATTACAATAATAAATCACAATATTACTTCTGACGGTTTTGGCCTGACTTCTTTCTGAACAGCGACCGATGAGACGATGACTGTCGTATTGATGCCTACGCGAAAATTGGGGAAGTTGGTTTTGAGCGAACAACCATGAATTGATCGTTCAATCTTCAACTACATTGACAAAGGTTATTACACTAGGTCTAAGAACGAATTTTATGACAATAAATAATGATACTACTTCTGATATTTTCTCATCTTTCTCTGAAGAAAGAAGGATGAGACGATGACTGTCGGATTAATGACACGCGAATAATATGGAGAATTTGGGTTTGAGCAGATAACCATTAATTGATCGTTAAATCTTCAACTTCATATGCTGTCCGCCTGACAAACTAATCGTTGCAACCAATATGCTATGAATGTGTCGCATTCAGATCGCATGACGCGGACGCTAACATAACTAGCCAGCAATGGGGAATTCCCATCAATCCAGATAACATGTAGTACATTTTTATTTAAAATTATTCACAAAAGAATTTTCCGAGCGGAAGTTTAACAGAACCTGGTGTATTAGGCCAGCCCTGAAAACACTGATACCGAATATTAAAGATGAATGACTGTTCATCAAAACTTTGTGAAAAATCGCTGACTGCATCATCGAAGGATAATTCAGGTGAGTTCTCTAGCAGAATGAAATTAACATATTTATTGTGCTCAACAGTACCCATTCTTCGCAATAACAATCGAACTTTATCAGCATCATCAAAACATGGCACATTTAATACGAAAAACTTCCCCATAACTGTTGAGCAACGCATCAAATACGAGATAAGATATTGGACTATAACTGAACTAACTGATGGAACTCGAGGTGCTTTAATATTTACCTGAATGAGATACCGGGCAAAATCAAATGGACAGCTTCTGAGAGCTTCGAATAATTTATTTGAGTTGCCTCATTCTGAACTTGCTGCAACTGCAGGATGGATTTGAGATCAACCAAAGAAATGGATATTGTAATTGGAATGAAATTAACACTGTTGAGAAGATGTTATAGATGCACTGAACATAACGGAAACCCCTCGCCACTTTATTATATCTGCACTGGAGTAAATAAACGCCATCGCTGATTTATTGTGTCTGAGCCTGCTAATTCTTTTAACGGTAAACAACCCGACTGGTACGCCAGTATGTATATTTGCTTGTTGTACCCTCCGGTTCACTGAGCCACGCAAGTGTCAAAAGACAAAGTCTGGCCTGTGACTGCGAGACAGTATATTCTTTAGTAATTAGGAAATAAATCATATCTATACCACAATCAAGTCGGCTGACAGCCATGGGAGTGGATTATTCTTAATGGCTGGAAACATCTATCCTGATCGATTGATGACCTGACAAATACCAAGGAGCTGCCTTCACTAACTCCATACTGCAGACTAGATTTCTAGAAGAAATTGGCAGTGATAAACTTTAGGTATGAACCACACAGGGGCATATGGAAAAATATATGCAGAAGAAAATAAGGATTGGTGAGGCTCAGTTTGAAGAGACAGTTTACGTAGGACCTATACTACAGTACGACTCGAATGAAGACAATGAGTAAGGCGTCCGGAGGTGATATTAAGGAGTTAGTGTGAGGAAGAGACGAAAGCTTTTGGGCGGTTGTGGGGCCAGTTAAAGAGGACTTCAGAGGTTAGTGGTAAAATGGGGTATTGTCAAACCCCTGTATTTCTTTCGAGACGGAATACTAATTTATTATTTTATTCAATCAACAGCAATCCATAATTTTTAACTATTTAAATTCCTTTCTAACCTGGACTTTTTATCTGAAAATGAAGAGGGCAGTTAAGTGCAATACTCATTTCCTGAGACAAAATCCAAAACTAAATTATGTTATTATGTTAAATAAAGTTTCTTTTTGGGGATTACGAACCTGAGGAAGATTATTATTATTTATTAGTATTATTATACCGTTTAATTCCTAGAGGAACATAGGGCATCAGCTGGGCATCTCCATTGCCGTAGGATTTCTGCAAACTTTTTCACCCCGCTCCAAGTCTGCCCACATGCTTTCATCTCCTCTTCACATGACCTCCTCCAAGTCACCCTCAAACTGACGAGCAACTCGCCGCTTCCTTTTTGGGTTCCACTCGAGGGCTCGTCTAGTGATGCCACTTGATTCTTTTCCTCAGAGTATGGCCAATCCATCTCAATTTCTTCCTGCCTATTTGTTGCACAATCGGTTCTTGCTGTGTTGATTCGCTGATTTTCAGAGATCCCTGTTGGTGATCTTTTCTGGCCGGCCATCTGATCTTGAGTGTTGAGCGAAGACAACTGGTAATGAAGGTCTGAATTTTCTTTAAAATGCTCTTTTTGATGCACCGAATCTTTGGTCCGTACAGTAGCACTGACTTCACATCGGAGTCGAATATCCGGATCTTATTTTTGATCCTGAGTGATGTTGACCTCCACGCAGACTTAAGGGTAATGAAAGCTTGTCTTGCTTTTCCGATTCTGGCTTTGATATCCTCGTCAGTTCCGTTGGCCTGTAGTTGAAACGATGCTTCCCGGTTAGGTAGGTAAAGGAGGTTGTTTCTTTCAGGTTCCTCCCATTTATGCTGATTATAGGCTCTGAAAAGCGCTATGCAACTTTCGTTTTTATTAAAACTCTGTGATGTTACTTTAAATCATTTCGCACAGTTTGTTAATCTTTTCACACAGTATTGAATGTTGAAAAGACCTTGACCGGTTTTTAAAACATTTTGTTACTGTTTGCTAAGGATGGCAACCAATACGGTTTTCCACCCGGATGATACCAACTCTGACAGTATTTCTTCGAAACAGAAACGTCTAGCACATATATTTCTCAGTCCTTTTAGGCGATTCAACCATAATTGCAGGAAAAGACCAAACAAGCAGTTATCAACATCTGGTTTTGATGAAAAAATTGTTGTGTTCAAAACAGACAACTGTGAGAAAAGTCCCCTTGACAATTCCGGTGAAGAAACAGGTTAGCTTTGAAGTGTCAATGTTTGGGTATTTGGGTTTCACTTGTCTTTTTGTATCACTAGAACTAACACTATTTCTTCATGTCTGCTCACGAATTTGGTTTCAGTCAATAGATTTTAGCGTCATTATTTTTAGTTCACAAAAAATTATTTTAGCGTTTTTTAAGTGTAACATTGTATTCGTACTTATTGGTTTCATGGTCTTTAATTTAGTCATATGGAAACACAGAGATATACCAGTTAGTTTGTTTTATTGTTTCTCATTCTTCTCTTCAGTTACCACATTTGCCCAATCATTTCTGTTGCGTATATGTTTATATATGTTGGACTTATGAGGTCGCAAGTTGTCTTATTTCCCATTTTACACCAAGTTAATGATTTAGTTGGGATAGATTTTTAAAATGAAGTTATGACAGCACATAGCTTTCCTGAATTACTATTACTTTAGTTTCTCGATCGATTAAGATAAGCTGTTTACCCCCACTGTATTCTTTGCAGTTCATATATTCGTGAGGGTTTTGTTTTCTCTTGAGGTGACTTGTCTGCTGAAACGTTAGCGAAGTTCAAGGATATCGTTCGACTGAATTCTAAATACCATCGTGATTAGTGTGTAAGCATATTTTTCACTAATGCCAGTTGGAATATTAGCTGTAAACATATTAGTTTTCGATCACACTCGACTCACATGAGTGAGATGACAACCGAACTAGGCTAAATTCATCATCTTTCTCAAGAGTACAATAACTCAAGTTACCTCATTGAATCACACATTATGATAGAAAATAAGAAAGAAAAGGAAACTATAATAAGCAGAATAGTTACATGGAGAATAATGGGAATTCAGTAGATCTCGGAGTTCATAAAGACCGAATGCACCTGCGCCACTGGTTCTTAGTATCGGTATGCTAGATATATATAATTAGTAACCTCTACTCGTACTCATACAGCCAGGTGAGGGCTTACGGCGAGCTGTCATCTGAACTGATGACGACCAGTGGTGTCCGTCAAGGATGCCCATTATCTCCTTTTCTATTCAACTTCATCATAGATGTGTTAATGGACTTAACCCTTAGTGACTTCAGCGACTCAGGGATTGACTTGCTACCAGGGAATAATCTCGTTGAGTTAGAATATGCAGACGATATAGTCCTTCTAGGTGAGGACTCTGACAAAATTCAGAGTCTTCTAAACACCTTGAACAGCAATCTACGAATGTTTGGCATGCGATTCGCTCCCGCCAAATGCAAGATGATGTTACAGGACTGGACTACATCGACGCCTAGTTTAAAAATAGGAAGTGAAGTGGTAGAGCACGTTGACCGCTTCACTTATTTGGGAAGTACCATCTGCCCCAACGGGCTGATCTCTGACAAAATCTCAGCACGAATACAAGAGGCTCGTTTCGCATTTGTCAGTTTACGCCGACTCTGGCGTAGACGAAATGTTCGACTATCGACCAAAGGGCGGGTGTACTGCTCATCAGTCCGCTCCGTCCTCCTTTATGGTTGTGAGACCTGGCCACTGAGAGTGGAAGACATGAAAAGACTAGCTGGCTGTCTTTGATCATAGGTGCCTGCGTTCTATTTCCCGTGTAAAGTGGCATAATAAGGTGAGCGTTATTTAGGTTAGGCGTAGAGTTCTAGGTAAACAGGGGAAATCAATCGACGAAGTCGTGAAGCTACAAAGACTGAGATGGTTAGGACATGTGTTACGTATGCCAAGCCATCGCCTCCCTCGACGAGCAGTGTTAGCGGATATAGGGTCAGGCTGGAAAAAAGCTAGCGGCGGTCAAACAAAAACTTGGCATCAGTCAATGAAATCCACAACAGTTGGTCTAAGCCACGTAGAAAGGTGTAGACTTCCAGGCTGGGATCCTCGGGACGGTAAAAATCTATGGTTGGAAACAATTGGTGACATGGCTCAAAATCGTTCTCAGTGGCGCAGATGCATCCACTCCTTGTGACTTACGATTTCCAATAAATCTGTTTTGTTCTTCGTTAATACTCCTCCTTTGTCTCACACCTCTGCTCACTGTTTCTATTATGCTTTTCTTGTACTTTCTTCTCTTGCTTCGCGTGCTACACGGAATGTGGCGACTTGAACTGTCGCACATTTGTGCAAAGTTCTATGTCGAAAATAGGCAGACAGACAGTAACTGTTTCTGCTTATGGGCATTCTTCTGAACAGTCACAAATTTAAGCTATCTAATTTGATGTATGGAGTTGAATAGGGTCATTTATGGTTCAAATGACTGGTTTATGAGTGCTTATCTGTGCAGCAGTACTAGTTGGCTTTGCGTATTGCCAGAATGTCAACTGATATGGTCCATAATGTCTGACTCGTTACCCAACAATCCAACATTAATCATCTATAATCATCAATTTATAGAGGACTCCTGTGTCTTGATTTTTGAGTCTAAGTAATTTTTCTTGTATTCACCAACATATATAACTAGTTAGTCGCTACTTGCACATATTTTAGCCTGAGAATAACACATGTTAAGCTCAGTGTTATGGATAGAAATCCAAGACTTAAAAATGCATTCTCTATTAAATAGCACCGATATCTTTTCGAATGTGATCTGTTATGTAACAGTACAAGTGGATTATAAGGTCGTTTTAAAACATCTATTTATTCTAGATACTTCTTGGGGATATGAACGCTTCTCTGCCGAATTACAGGTTGGATTTTTCGGTAGAACCTTTGCGCTAGTTTCCTCATAACTAAGGTACTTATCTCAGCAACTATTTGTTTTTCTAAGACAAACGTGGGAGTAAAATTGTTGCTCTTTTTCCATATTATATCACGATTCAAAACTCATATTTTCTGTCTCAGTACTCTAATAATAATCCTTTGCAAGGTTTGTGGTTCTTGACTCATTAAATTAGGATTTTTAAAATTACTGAGTTTTATGCCACAATACAGAAGTCTTCAGGTAGCACTTCTACCTCATCAGATTCTAAGAGCTTTTCTTACTAGAAGGCTGTCAGCTTAAATAAATATTTTTCTTTATACAAAAATGCTACAATAATAAATAGAAACTTTTAGGCAGTGAGATCTTCAGCTGTTTTCTGTTTTTGTCCTAAGTTTCTGTCTTGTGTTATAAGAATGAGTGGATATTAAGAACATGACTTCACTTTGACTTATCTTCACCCACCATAATGTGTTACTACACGAATTCATATCTAACTTTTGCTGTCAGATGTCAGCACATACCAGTGTTCATTTTACTAGTAAATACGATCAATGAAATCACTAGTCTGTATGAAATAGTAGAAACACTCATGGTAACTTAGATTATTATTTCATTGGTTCGGCTTTAAATCCTCATTTCGATATAGGCAGTTATTTAATATCATAAGGCCTCATAATTAAAGTGCTCGTAACTTAGTTAACAGAAAGTCTGTATATGATGTTTCATTTGCATTACATGACCAGTAATTTAATACTAATTTAATATTTAAATTTATATAAGGTTTTTAAGGAACAACTGAGTTTGAGGTGGTTTATGTAAAGGTCAGATGGGTGAATCACTGTATTTTTTCTACGTAGTCTAAAAGGTTCTCTGTTATATTTCACCCATCAACATTCATGAGTACTTAGATGCGGCAAACTGTGCTCACCGAATGAGATTTGTTTTATTGTTTAATTCTTCGATAGACCGGATTTATATTCATTGAAACAACACATAAGTGGATGAGTACGAAGACTATGATGTTACGATGTTTATCACCTAAAAATGCATAGCCAACACGAATTTTTTATTACCATTATAGTCATTATCATATTAAACTATCAATAAGTAGGTGCCTGGTCACTGATTCCATAAAAAGAGTAACATGAATACAACGTCCCTAAATTCTATAAGTAGTGGTTATATAAGTTAAGCAGCTTGATTGTATCGTTTGCTCTAGTTCTCATCACCACTCTGACATCTGTCTGATATTTTACAAGTAAACTAAAAGTCAACTATTACTAATAAATATGGTGGAGACTATGATTCTAAGTTTATACGACCACATAAATCATGTTATTATTTTTTTGTGTCACTTAGATGTATCACATTTTCTTGGAAATAATCATGAAAATGGGGAACTCTCTGTCGCAGTAAGTCGTCTGGAATCAGCATGTATAGTAAGTTTTATTTTCAATTTAATCATAGTACATTATACAGACTCCTGTGGATGATTACCAACTCACTGAAACGCGTAAAGCGCTTACCAAGATAAGTACAGGTGTTGGAAGGTTGACTACAGACGTTACATCAAGTCCCGATCACCATTCCAAAACTTCATGTAAAAAGACCAGTGAAATGCAAAAGAATGTAACACCTCAGTCACCAAAATGTTCACAATCGCAACCTTCATATTCAAAGCCTTCTGGAGGTATTTGTGATACATGTAACCAAACAACGATCTATTCTCCCAAGTAATTAAATATTGTTGGTAAACTAGCTACTATAAGTATGTTTTGAGGATATTAGACCTTTTCATGTTCATATTTGTCTCATAGTAATTGAACCAAATCAAATATCTTTTTATAGTGTGAACATTGTGGATGCAGCTACTCGGGTACATGTGTCTCTTAGTGAATAACATTTGTACATTTTAGCAGAAAATACAATCATTTATGTAACCAGTTGTGAAATCTACAGTTTAGTATACCAATAGCGTTTCAGATATACATGGTACTGCTGACTGAGGTTTAACAATTCAAGCTGCTATACTTTGTGACTCTGCTGAAAGGTATTTAATTCCTTATATATTCATGTATTAGAGTCACCTAATAGTTATTGTGGTCTAAACAAGGTATACTTCCTAATAAAAAGTGTTTTACCTTCTAGGTTTTATCTGATACTAAAGGACGCAACTATTAGAAATTCTTTTTCTTAATTTCAGAGTGGATCCAGTACTTTGCAGTAAAAGCGGTGTCAAAAATTTATCTGTTGCCTGCAATGCAATGGTACTACCTGTATCTAATTCAGACTTCTCTTCGGTGGAACATCGTATTAGTTCTGAGTCATCTCATCATTCTGCATGTTCATTAGATTCTACGCAAAATTTGAAGCTTCAATCAGCCGTGTCTAACTCTCACATTTCCTCCAATAATTTAAAGTGTCCAATTCAGAATAATACTAATGGTTCGATTGATTGCGAATTTGAAGCTTATTGTCCTCCAGATTCAATTGATGCAGTTGTTTCTACTGAATGTTCAGTAATATCGACTCCCAACTGTGTTCATTCATTTTCATCCTCCTTATCAGTACCACATAATAATGATTTCAAAGAAAGTGACCTTACTTCCAGCTCTAATCACATGTCTAAAAATTTACGCCTACCTAGTCGCACTTATCCGTTTGGCAAAGAATGTCGCTTTATTTTCTATAATTGTGCAGATATCGATGAAGAAGATGCATATAATTTGTCCCCACCCAATCAAACGCTTGCATCACTTATCAAGTCACGTCAAGAACACAAAGATATGTGGTTGCGAAGAGCTGATCGCATCAATCGATTTCTAGCCTGCAGACCTTGTCGTGACGACTTAATTTCCAAAAATATTATTCCCAGCACCACCCTGGAGGCTCGCGCTGAACTTCGAATCGATATTGAAGCCTCACTTGAGCGTCGACTTAACCAACGCCCTACAACAGATGAACTTCAACAAAAGAATATCCTGCATGGTAATTTCCTTGATTATTTGACCACAGTTTTATGTATCAATAAGTTTCTGTTCCACTCATACTCTTTAACTTCTATTATGTGTTTACGTACAATTTACTACTATAGACTTATTGGAAAGAGATTCTTCCTGCCTTTATTTATCGTGGTAGGCAATACTGATCGGTGGTAAGAGCAGAAAAAGGGCTTGTTTAGGTAAATAACGGAGAGTTTGTTTGAGGATCACTCCACTTTCCTTTTAAAGTGGCTGTACATTTATTATTTGAATTTCTTAACAGAAATTGTTCTTAAAAGCGTACAAATATAATATAATTAATCATAGAAAAAGCGTATAGAAGGAAAGATATGAAGGAAACATTGACAACCTTGTCACCTCATTGTAATCCATCAAGAAGTGGGTTTGAAAATATGCTGTTTCTCTAAGTAAACCGCCATTAGATTTTGACAGTGACCAGTTGTTTTCTTTCCTTCGCAAACGAAATTTTCGTCTCTGTGTCCAAATTTATTTCATTTCTTTTTGCATTCCCCTCCCTCGTTAGACTGATTGGATGAGTTCCAACGAAAAATTCTCCCTAAATTTGATAAATGTCTGTTCTTTTCTTGTAATGAAAATATCAGTGGGAACTTTGATATTAAATATTCAGACTAGATAAACAAATTGATTATCATACGAAAATTGATTCGCCCGATAGTTTCAGCATGAATGAAATTTAAGACAGCCATCTATTATATGAATCCGAGGTGTTCGCTGAAGTTGGCTGACTATAGACTGTTAATCTGATATTCTCTTTATTTGCACTTAATTCCTTTATATAGCTTCTTTGTATAACTTTGAAGTGTTCAGCTAACTGCAAGCAGTTTAACTGTCAAACTTTTAAGGATAGGTTTGACTAAACTCCGATCTTTACATTATTAAAAATTTTCTATCATAATATAGTGATGCTATTAGGGGTTGATTTTACATTTTAGTGTTTAGTTTTAGATAATACCCACTGTTGTTTGCACTCTTTTTTTATACAGTTAAGTATATCTCACTTCAGTTTCGTAAATAATGTTGTGCGGTGAGTGTATAGCTATGCAAGCTCACTTTATTCATTCAGTAGAAATAACTTTCTCACCTCATTTGTTGGTGACTGTTGAAGCCTTACAATCAATCACTCTGTCAATGTCTTAGTTGAATATTCATTGGGGTTTGGCTTCTTCTTAGGATATTTTGAATGTTAACTTTTTATTTCTTGGCATTGGTATGTTGTACTTTCTCTGCAGTCTCAAACTCCGCGTCCTTTTTGCTGTTGTCAGGTGTACTGCGATCAGGTAGGCTCAGTTGGTTTATTGTAAGTCCATTTCACAAATATTGACATTCTTATCCAACCATACTGGCTGGAATATACTTCAGATATGAGTTAACAACTATATATTATTTTATAATGTCTATCCATATTCCGTAAGTTTTACACATGGAAATGTATATACCTACCATGCAATATACTGGGTGGTTGTGTGAGATACATCTTAGTTCATAATAAAGTCAATTACAATTCTAATGACAATAATTAAAAGAAGTAATTAACTTCATCTCATATCATAAATGTTGCCTTCACTTTTAGTTGATACAGAAGAAGTGCGCAACAGGATTAAAGAAGAACGAAAGCAAATTTTAACTCGCAAGGTGAATCTCGTTTTTTGTGTGTTTATATTTCTGCGTATATTAGATTTGACAGTATTTTTTATTTTTGTTACGTGACTGATGTTCTTATCTGTGAACAGCTTTTTATTGCAGCTGAAATAAATTCAACAGGTTTCTTGTGAAACTAGAGATCACAACCGTTGGCAGCATATTATAGCTGATTACATATTGTTGAACTGTGTCATTTGTCTTTTGATTTATTTTGTGTTTACACTGGAAGAGGTGTTCACATATAGTCTTCTGTAATATTCGCTTTGTTAGGTGTCTCATGCTGAAAGTTATTCAATAAAGGGAGCTTTGGAAATAGGTCCTGAAGCTACATCGATTGAGGTAGTTGTGACATGTGTTACGCATGTCGAACCAAAACTTTGCCTAATGATTAGTACTAACTGGAATGAGAATAAGTTTAAAACGAAACTGTTATTAGGTTATTAATTGTTTAACCTGTTGATTCTTTCTAGGTTTTAATTTTCAACAGTTGAATATCGTATCGGATTTCTCTTTATTCTTTATTATAAAGTCATTGTGTATAATTATCACAAACTTATAATCTAAAAAGCCATCAAATGATGTATATATGAATAGAAATGTAACACTGAATTCACCTTTAGAAGCTGTTACATGGAGTTAATGAGAATCTTACATATTTCGACTGTCTGAGTCTCAGCCTTGAAATTCTCACGGAAGTGCATAAGTTCAAGTTGCCACATTGCATGTAATACACAAAGGTGAAAAAAAATTTAAAGGAAACATGATGAGCAGAAATGTACAGGAGAAAGGATAATGACATAGGAAGACATTAATCGACGTAGAAGGCAGCGGCTTGGGGTACATAACACACATGTTTTAGCCATCTCAAATGATATTGGTTCACAGCCTTACTAATCGACTTTCCCTCCGTAACTAACACTCTACACCTAACCTGAATATTACTCACCATGCTATACGGGAGGTAGGAGGCAAACTTCTGTGACCAAAGACATCTAGCTTCTTCATGTTGCACACTTCCAATGGCAACAGTTACAAAGAAGGGAAGAGAAAACTACTGCTCAGTACACACGTCCTTTGATTGATAGCTGGATGTCTCACCTCACGTATTTATTGAGATGTGATTATGCACCTGAATTGCCACCTACTCTCAACTAATTAACAAAGACTGCCTAGGTCATCTGATTTTTTTTTACTATAAACAACGTGATGTACAGTCTTTTGTGTCATTAAAAAAATCTGGATACTGTCATCTGATAAGCAAACAACTTATTTGTTTTTTTTCGTTTTAGTCATCTACTTGTACATTACTCAGGTGAGTTATGTACATATTTTAGTATAGGATAACTATCAGTATGAGTGCGTCGGTGGCACACCGGATAGGACGCTCGCCGACCATGAGCATGGTGGCGGGTTCGACCCCCAGCCGACGCAGTCCTTCACCTCGCTAAGCCAGAAATAAAATGATCGTAAAGAGGGAAGGCTGGGCATGAGGCTAGCAACCCCATCCTGTAAAAACAAACACTGCTACAAGCCTCTAGCTTGAAACCCTATGTTGCACTGGGAACGTGAAGGAATAAAAAAATATCGGAATTCTGTTTTGTGCAGTGCTTCGGGAAATACAAATAATTGCATTGTCTTATATATATATATATATATATATATATATATATGATCAAATGGATTAGTATTTTTGACATATCCTTATAGGAAGAATTTTCCCGTCAGTACTTTCGTTTGTGTACAAAATATTTATTGCTTTCCTCCCATTATCGTCACTACAGACCACTAACATACATTCTTTTCAAATCTCTACAGAAATATCATACAAGTGGATATTGACACACACACACACACACACACTTACCTGCTGAAATTATCATACAGACAGCTTGTAGCACTAAATTATTCCATATGCACAATTGCGTTATTCCTAAAAGACTGACTAAATTGGCGCAAGTTGACTACGGAGTCAGTAAAAGATGAAAACAAAACAAACAGTCAGGCGAAATAAAATGTATCGAACAGAAAAGATAATTATTATTGTTCCTTTGGGTTCTGTGTAAAACATAGGGCTTCGATAAAGCAAATCTGCATTCCACTTTGTTCTCTGCAATCTATTTTAGCTGGCTCCACGATTGCCTATAAGCCTACGTATCCTCTTCAGACTATCTTCTAGGGAATCATCTCATTGAGTTAGACCATACAGATAATATAAGTCTTTCTAGGTGAAGACGCTGACGAAATCCAGAGCCGTCTGAACACCTTGAACAGCAATTTTCAAATATTTGGGATGAGATTCGCTCCCGTCTATCGTAAGATGATGCTACAGGACTGACCTACATAGACTACAAGCTTAGAAATATGGGAGTAAAGTGGTGATGTGTGTAGACCACTTCACTTATTCGGGAAGTCGTATCAGTCCGAACGGGTTGGTCACTGACGAAATATCAGCACCTATACAGAAGACGATTTCGTCATACACCAACTTACGCCATCTCTACCTTAGTAGACGTGATATCCGGCCGGCTTTCAACCAAAGAACGTGTTTACTGCTCATCAGTTCTCTCTGTCCTCCTTTATGTGTGTGAGACACGGCCAATAGAAGTGGAAGACGTGGAAATCAGTAGACGAGGCTGTGAAGTTACATCGATTGAGATGGTGAGGACATGTGTTATGCACCATCCCAGGCCACTGGTCGCCTTCGTCGACAGTGAGTGTTAGTTGACACAGGATGGATCAGGTTCGAATAGAGCTAGTCGTAGTCAAAACAAAACACGGCCACAACCGTTAGTTTAAGTCAGCCACGTAGGATGGTGTAGACTACCTCACTGGTTGGGATCCTCGGAATGTAAAAACCACCAACGACAGGAGACAATTGGTGATATGACTCAAAATTGTTCTCGATAATGGCCCAGATGCATCCGCTCCTTGTGATTTACAATATTCAATGAAACTGTATTGTTCATTGACATTACTGTTGTTTTTGCCTCATACTTCTGTTTAGTATCTCTTTTGATGAATCTTTCTTTACTCTCTTCTCTTGGTTTGTGTGACACATGGAGGGAGTGTGGCAACTTGAACTGTTGCACATCTGTGCAAAGTTCTATGTTGAACTCAGTTAGTCTTCAGACGATCGCCTCCATATTTCTCTCTGAGGCCCAACAGTTGGTTTTCCACTTAGAGCTGCAATTATGAGCCAGCTTGGCGCGTCATTTTACTCAGCGGTCTCCTCAGTGTGTGTCCACTCCATCTTTATTTCCCACTGCAAATTTATTTGACTATAGGCTCTTGTTTGGTTCCATTGTCAGAGTGACTTGTTACTTATCGTCAACAGAAAAGATACAATTGTATCGTTAAATTATATGTTTTGACTGGCACTGTTTGACGGCATCTTTCGATATTTTATGCAATATTTCTTAGATAAAAACGGAAATAATCATCAACCACTTAGACGTAAACTATTACTGTGTTCTCTAATTGGGTCAATCATTTTAGAGTTGAGAATTCTTGATCAGATGAAACACTAATAAATACTGTTTTGATCCTATTTTATCTTTACTGCCTTGTTGCAATATTGAACAGCCTAATTCCATCAACACATATACGCGTGCAAGACAGGTATGTGCTACATTAGCTGAGTCGTTTATCCTAATCGGTTGTCGCAACATGGCTAAACAAGTAATAGGCGAAACCATTTATTTCCTACACAAACAGTTTATCGTCCCTCTTAAGTTTTATTCGTCAACAGTAATAAAAGTTATTTTAATAATTTTATTGTTTATACCAAAAGTTATCGAAATAAATAAAAGTCGTACAAACTCATGTGTCCTCTTGTCGGTGTGACCTTTACTAAATAAACAAAAATTAAAAAAAAACAGGGAAAATGTGACCACAGTCTTCATTTAACAAATTGAAAATACATAAAAGGCTGAGTGGATGCATGTATGCATCGACTATCAGTTCAGTTTTAATTGCATTTGAATATAAGGTGTATATATATCTCATACACATCAGTTAAACAAATTTTTAGTATGTATTGATCAACTAATAAATAGAACAAAGTCAGTTAGATATAAATTAATCCAGTCGAAATTTATGCATAATTCACATGCACTTATACAGTTGGAATTAAGATAACTAGTTCACATTGTATTCACTACAAATTACGCAAAGTAACTAACTTCTGTATAAACGACTTTTGGATTTTGGATGTCAACTATGAGATTCTATCGATGTTGTTAGACAGTGTTAATAATAATTAAACTGAAAATTCTACGTCAAATATTTATTCCCCTTGTTGAATGTATGTCAGTACCGGTGAGTGATATTTCTAGCCAAAATTAGTCAGCTGTTCGATTTTATAAGATGTTGGCTTTCATAGGTTTATGCTGTCTGTGGAGTTAAATAAATTTTTTACGTTGAGTTCATTTGATTGAACATATTCAATCGTCTAGTCTGTGGGTTTTTTTTTTTTATAATAATATTCTCTAGAGCTGTCAATTTTGAGAAATAGTTATGAGAAATATAACTGATGGTTTCATGAAGAATAAAAAATTTCTGTTACTAGTTGATTGGAGGCAATCACAAGGTGGCATTGGATCTAGGTTTCATGCTGGTTGGCACTCGTCTCCTTGCCTCCAACCAACTAATATCAAGTATTCAAAGTGCACCGTGATGGCGAGCCACCTAGATCGTTGGCCACATGGCATACCTCACTGATAGAATTCAGTCTGCACCAAAGAAAGGACTAGACACATAATTGACTGACTAGTTTCAACACAGAGCTTTCCACAGATGTGCAACAGTTCAAGTTGCCACACTCCCTCCATGTGTCACACAAACCAAGAGAAGAGAGTAAAGAAAGATTCATCAAAAGAGATACTAAACAGAAGTATGAGGCAAAAACAACAGTAATGTCAATGAACAATACAGTTTCATTGAATATTGTAAATCACAAGGAGCGGATGCATCTGGGCCATTATCGAGAACAA